CAATTCCCCGATTAACTCGGTAATTAGTAATATTCTCAAGAAAAACTCGTCCGAGCATAGTATCGCGTGACAACTATGTCCGAATTACTCTGTCATAGCTTCCACACTACACCTAAAAGGCCAAGATGGGTTAGGTATTCTACGATCCTCAGTTTCAGCAGGCTCCTAGGTCGAAAGTAGTACGTCTTCTCGATTACTCGACAAATGACACTACAGTCAAAGAGGCCTCCACTGAATGGGGGATCTCATTTCTCCTTTTTTGGGATTACTCCCTCAAAGTTAACATGACTATACCGCCCGTCCTATCTTAAGTTTGCCCAAGTCCGGGTATAGGACTTATGAGAAATCCCCAAGCACCCTGAAAACTAGGAAAATCCAAACAAACATATATACAACATATAACATATAAATAACAATAACACATATACATATATAAACAAAGATAGGTTTAACCCACTTAGGGATGGACCGACAAGAGGTTAATATTTCCCTAGTGAAGTCGCCATTTTTTCTGTAGCGGTAGAAATGTTTAAGACTAAGCCATTAGATTGACTAGACTTGTACAAATCAAAATAAAAATTGTCACCGCGCTTTATTGTTTCCAAAGGAATGGGAAAAGAGCGAATAACCCAAAAAGAGGGGGAAGGATTCAAGGTAAGGGGGTTGGTTATGCAAATGGAAGGTATTATCACCCTAAACATCTACGGTACTCCGCAAGAACCTCTTTGTAAAATCTGTATATTTTGGCTATAAAATGTTGTATGAAAATAGATGGTGGAGGTGAGAAAAGAAGTATATATTTTTTATGATTTTTGCACCCACCACGATTGTGAAACTTTAGTGCCTACGTACCAACTTCCATGCAATAGGGGATCAGTACACATAGCTCCTCTTAAAACAAATTTAAAACACAAGTGTGTTGGATAATTTTATGAGATAAGACATCATCGTCATTGTCCGTGTAGAAAACATACTTACTATCCACAATCATGAGAAAGAAGAATTTGCGTCATCTCAAAGGGAAGGATATGACTTGGATTTTAAAATCAACAATGCCTCACTCAACACCCAAGTGGAAAATATCTCACTTCACTACATTTATAGAAGTATAGTTGTTTGCATCACTACAAGGATTGACAAGAGTCCAATCTTTTGAGATTTTTTTTAATGCAAAAGCCAAAGTGGAAAAATGATTTGAATGAGATTGATTGACTTTTAGTCTTCTCACAAAAAATGTCAAGGTATTATTAAGTTGATTGAAGTTTATTTATGAAAATATTTTGAAAATATATGGACCTAAATCCAAGTTTATTATGAAAGTAGTTCAAGTTTAGAAACAAGAAGAGTTTTCAAAAGGAGGGAGAAGATTTTTGAAATTAAAAAAGATGAGAGGAGAAGGGAATATCCTAAAGCATAAGATAAAAGCAAGGGAGAAGAACCATCAAACCAACAAGAAGCCAATACTTGACATTATGAGTCGAGATAGAATTCACATTCTTTGGATTGAAACCAAGTAAGAAAAGATACTAGACCTCTTGATAAGACCAAGCTTCAAATGTATTAAATCTTCACAAAAATTGGGCAGAGTAACGACTGTATACAGATGAATTCCATATTACAGACAAAGTGTGTAATCACAATAACCTGCACACAAAACAAACAAGTAACCCAATGTCTTGAAGTAAATCCCAAGAACTCCAGACAAAATATTAATCAAGGCCACAAGGTCTCCAACATAGGCCAAGGTCTCTAATCCTATGCCCAAGAAGTCCAATACTCCATAATACCAAGGATAGTAACCAAATAGTTAAAGTATCGTTAAAGTTTTTATGGTTCATGTTGATTATTAAGTATCTTCAAAATGAAAAGAAAAGCTCAAGTGAGCAAAATAAAAATGACACAAAAGTAAATGCTAAAGTGAGCAAAGATGAAAATAGCATGAAATATAAATGCTAAAGTAAAATGGTGCATAAAGTAAAGGGTATAAGATAAAAGCATAAAATAAAGTCAATTGTTAGAAGTTAATGGTTAGTTAGATGACCATCTTGAAACTTGCAATTGGAACTCATTAGAGAATTGATAGAACCAAAGCCTCTCAACAACAAGTTGCATTTTCTTTTTGTCAAGTATATCGTCCATTTAAGAATCCTCAAGGCAACATTTAATGATCAATGATGTTTAAGTAATCAACATTGACCAAAATTGATGAAGATCCATTGGAGGATTGGTAGAACCAAAGCCTCCTAACAATAAATATCAATGTTATTGGATCAAAGGGTTTGAATTAATATACTTGGGCTTGTAAACATAGGTTTGGGCAACGAATGATCATTTTCTCGAATCGGGACAAAATTTAGCGCTATGTTAAGTAATCGTAAGTGAATTTATATAGAAGTCTCACCTATTTTGAGGCTGGTCAATAATAATCTATGTACTTTATGTTTGGATAAATGATATAGAGATCATCATCTCATAACATGTAACACAAATAAAAAAGAAAGGGATAAGATGAAGAGGGAGGGGAATGATAAGCTAATTTGGATTACTACCTCAAATTTCTTTCATCTTTAAATTCAATCACTCATCTCAATAGATTAAAGTACTAAACATATCATTAATCCAAAGCACCAAAAATGAATTAAATAATTCACTCTTTGGTAGATTTAAATTAATGAACATTTATCCAACTTCATCTACACCCAAATTCCATTGAATTTAAAGAGAAATTGGATATTTAAAATTGCAATCCAAATCAACAATCAAAAGGAGTGAGTAGAAAAAAGATATATGGGTCAAAACAGCCCCAAAACAAGGCAGAAAAAGCATTTTGTCACTGTTACAATTGATTGCACTCTGGAAGCAATCAATTGCATCTGTGCTTTTTTTTTTCAAAAAAAAAGTGAATTCATTCTGTGACAATCGATTGTGCTCTGACAGCAATCAATTTCACCCTGTGCAAAACAACAAATCAGCATTTCAAAAGGCCAAATTCTTGTTCAAACTTTCCATCAAACACCTTATGATCATGGATTTAATTGAGCACGAAAATTTCATCAAATCATGAGAAAATAGCACCAATGGAATCACAAAACAATGCTCAATGAATCAAACCCAAAGATCAACAAGAGATCACATTGTGAAAGATGAAAAATCCAACTTACCAAAGGTAGATCTAGAGAATTATCAAAACAACTTCAAGAATTTGCTTCAATTCAGCCCCAAAAATCAATTTCCCAAGCTTGGATGTAGAGAATTGATGAAAAAAAAATTTTGGATGAAGGTTTAACTCAAAGATTAGTAAGTTTCAATGCAAAACTTACTATTTTTTTTTTTAAATAGAGCTTTGAGTGAATTTGGTAGATGAAGGGAATTGAGAGATTTTTTAGCAAGGTGAATTTGGCTATCAAAAGCTTGAGATTTGAATGAAATGAGGGCTCTATTTATAGAGTTTAGGCTTGGGATTAGTGGTGGTTTGGAGTTTGGTTTGGGAAATGAAATTATGCTTGGTAATTAATTCTTGGAGCCAAAATTTGAATTAATGATATATCTTTCAAAAATGAAGAAAAAATAGAGCCAAAATTTGAATTAATGATATATCTTTCAAAAATGAAGAAAAATTGGAGCCAAAATTGACAAGCTTGAAATTGATGATTTTTTTCAAAATTTCACTTTGTGCAATCGATTGCACTCTGGCATCAATCGATTGCATCAGTGTTTTTTTTCCAAATATTATGCAAAATACACTTGGTACAATCGATTTCACTCTAAGAGCAATCGATTGTATAGTGAAAAAAATGAAATTGTTTAATTATTTTTCCTTTGCAAATAAAGATTTTAGGGAAATAATACCGGAAAACGTTATTTGTCAGATGTTTTGACTCAGTACCTACAAAACACAAGACAAATATTTTTTGTATTTTGATTAGAAGTTAGTCGACAACACATATACAAAATATACCACTAAAGTGCTTGAAGATCCCTCAAGAGCAAACTTAAAGATATGATGCAATAGGAGAAAAACCTCAAACCTTAATTTGTGATCTGATTGCATTGTGATGGTATGAAACGATAGAGAAATCTTAGAGACAAAAATTGAGATACAACAATTACCAAATTTGATTTGTGTGACTAAAAACTAAGTGTTTTTGTATGAACAACCACCATTTGAGGTTACTTATTTGTATCATAATAATTTAGTCGGAAATTCTATTCCACGTGTAATCTCTTTATAATTCTAGGCTTAGACCTCTTCTTTAGAAATAAAATAAAAAAAATTATTGAAGTCTTGTCCAAAACCGTGTCTATCCTCCTGTTTTAACTAAATTTAATCATACTTGTAAAAATAAAACCAAATTCAATTCTAGTTAGTATATTTTGTGATCCTATTTATAAAAAAATATTATTTTTTAAATAAATTGAATAATCAATATATTTAAAATTAATTTTTTGTTATATATAAGACCAGAGATAATCCTAATTAATATGAGTTAGGCTATAGCCATATCTGATTGACGGTTAGAACTAATGTATAATTGAATTTTAGTGTACTTTCGAAACAGGAGATTCAAACTACTCCCACCCAAAAAGAATTGACAATAACTTATCTTTATTTGTAAGTTATGCTGCATAACTCTTTATTTTTCTGACACAAGGGGACACAGTAAATATAATCTTTATATCCGTATAAATAAAGAAGGATTCAAAAACAGGCCCAGAAGAGACGACAAGGACAAATCATACACATGGGTCCCACCTCCCCCCAATATCAATCAAGTCTACACAACTGATACATCATATCACCATGTCGCGCGTCACACCCTATCACACCCCTAGCCCAAAAACTACGTCAACAACAACTCCAATAACAAAAAAACACTCATCAACCCTTCAAACTTCAAAAACCAAACACTCTCTCTCTCTGTTCGGTGTTTGCTAAGAAAAAAAAGAATATCAAAAATCACTTTCTCTTTCTCTCTCTAGCTTTATTTTTTTGTTCAACCATGAAGAAGCTCTACCATAAAGCGACGGTTCATCCAACCCCACCGGTCATCACCGACCAACTTTCCTTCCTTCCGGCCACCATCCTCACCCTAGCAGCTGCTCTCTCAACCGAAGACAGAGAAGTCTTGGCTTACCTCATCTACTGCTCATCCGCTGCCACCCCACCAGCCTTTACCGGAAACCCAAAACGGAACACCGTTAAGAACACCGATCATGCTACTCTCTTCAACTGCAGCTGTTTCCGATGCTACACGAGTTACTGGGTCAGATGGGACGAGTCGCCGAACCGTGAACTCATACATGAAATCATCGACGCTTTTGAGGAGTGGTTGGCTCAGAGTAGTAAAGGTGGGAAGAAAGGGAAAGGGAAGAAAGAGAAGAGGAACAAGAAAGGGTTTGTGAATAAGCGGTCTGGACCTGGTTACTCCGGTGAGTCGAATCGGTCTGTGGTGAACGAGTCGGCTGAGATGGAATCGGTGGGAGAAAGTAGTAATAGTAGTAGTAGCGGTGGTGGTGGTGGTAGTGAAAGTGGTGAAAGGGTGGTTGTTGTTGTTGGTGGTGGTGGTGATGATGAAGAGAAAGGGTCGGTGAGAAAATTTGTGAGTTTTATTGGAGAAAGAATTTGGGGTGTTTGGGGATAGGGAATGAATTTGCAAGAGAAAAAAATAATGAAGAAAATTTGAAGAAATTAAGGTAGGTTTTAGTCTATGTTTTTTTCTTTCGTTGTTAAAATCTTTTTGTATATTAATCATCATCATTATGTAATGTTAAGAAAATGTTTATTTGGTTTTGTGATGAATGGGTTAGATTTTGTTGATTAACATGATACCAACGCTATGGTTTATGTTTTTTGCTTCAATGACTGCATCTTGATTTTGAGCTTTTTCTTAGAAATTTCTTAGAAATTATGAAAAATTTGTTTCTTGATTTTGGGTAACTAACTTAATTTTAAGTCTACAAGAAAACAGGAAGAAAACAATTTTAATTTGTTATTTTAGACATGCATTGAATATTTGTTTAATGAAAGTGTAAGTAGTAGAAATGTTGAGACTAAGTCATTGAATTGATTTAATTCATACAAATTAAATAAAAATTGTCATTGCGTTCTATTATTTCTAAAAGAAATGGGAAAAAAGCAAATAAATCCAAAAAGAAGAGGTGAGAATCTAGGTATGAGGGTTGCTTATGTAAATGGAAGATATTATCACTCTAAACATCCACGGTATTATGCAAGAATGTGTATATAAAAATAGATGGTGGAGATGATAAAAGAAATATTTTTTTACAATTTTTACATCCGCTGCGATTGTGAACCTTTAGTGCCTACGTATCACTTTCCGTGCAATATGAGATTAAGGTCCTTGTAATTCACCTCAAAAATTTTAAAATACAAATGTGTTGGTTAATTTTAAGAGAAGAGATATTATTGTCATATCTCAGTGGAAAATATATTTACTACCCACGATGATGAGAAATGAGAATTTACATCATTTCAAAGTGGAGGATATAATTTGGATTTTAAAATCAACAAAGTCTCACTCAACACCCAAGTGAAAAACATCTCATTTCACTTACCATCATAGAAGTATAGTAGCTCGCATTACAACAAGAATCAACAAAAGTATAATCTTTTAAGCAAAAAAAGTTTTAAAGTAAAAAGTCAAAGTGACAAAATGGTTTGAATAAGGTTAATGACTTTTAGTCTTTCAAAAAGATGTCAAAATATGGTTAAGTTGATGAAGAAAAGATTTTTAAAATGTATGGACATAAGTCCAAGTTTATTATGAAAGCGGTTCAAGTTAGAAAACAAGAAGAGTTTTGAAAATGAAGGAAAAGATTTTTGAAATTAAAGAAGATATGACGAGAAAAGAACGATCTAACCAACAAAAAGCCAACACTTGACATGAAAAAGTCAATGTAGAATTCTCATCATTTGGATTGAAAATCAAGTAAGCAAAAATACTAAACCTTTGAGAAAAATCAAGCTTCAGGTGAATTAAGTCTTCACAAAAATTGGGCATAGTAACAGCTCTATACAGAAAAATTCTCAATCACAGACAAAATATAAAATCAGAATAAACTACACACAAAGAAAATCAACCCAATATCTTGGAGTAAACCCCGAGAACCTCAGACAAAATAACAAGAGAGCAACAAGGTCCCAAAGTATCAAGACTTCTAATCCTAAGTTCGAGAGATCTACAACTCCATAATGTCAAGGATAGTAACCAAATAGTCTAAGTAACATTAAAGTTTTTAATGTTCAAGTTGATTATTAGGTGTCTTCAAAAGAAAAGAAAGCTCAAGTGTTCAAAGAAAAAAAGACATAAAGATAAATGCTCAAGTGAACAAAAGGAAAATAACATGAGATGTAAATGCTAAAATAAATAGTATATAAAAATAAATAAAGACATAAAATAAAGTTAATTGTTAGTGACTTAGAAGTTAAAAGGTTAGTTGAATGACCATCTTGAAGCTTGATTTTGAAAACTCATTAGAAGATTGATAAAATCAAAGTAAAGCAACCACATATGACCAACGATGTTCAAATGATTCACTTAGACCAAAATTCATGAAGTTCATTAGAGGATTGATAGAATCAACGCCTCCTAACAATGAACTTCAAAGTTATTGGATCCAAGGTTTCAAATTAAACATATTTGGTTTTGCAAACATAGGTTTGGGTCACGAATGATCATTTTTCAAATCGGGACAAATTTAGCGCTACGTTAAGCAATTGTAAGTGGACTTATGTAGAAGCCACGTCTATTTTGAGATAAGTCAATAGCAATCTATGTACCAAACATGTTAGAGAAATGATATGTAGATCATTCTCCCAAAATATGTAACACAAGTAAAAAACAAGAAATGGATAAGATGAAGAGGGAGGGGAATGATAATGTAAGCAAGGTATCAAATGAAATTAGGATTTTAAATATCATCAACATCATTCATCTATTTTAGTGGATTTGATTTTTCAACCTATCAACACCCAATATCCAATGAGGTTGAGGAATTTGTCTCAAAATAACACTCAAATATCTTCAAATCAGGACCAATAGAAAAAAATAAAATATATTTAATATAAAACAAAATTTAAATGATTAAAAAAAGGAAATAATTGGCAAAAAACACAATATGTATTATAACACCAAATAAAAATCTTAAAAAATATCATAAGCCAAACATGAGTCAACAAGTGTTGAAATTTTTTTTAAGAATTTTTTAAAAAGTCAGAAATTATTTTTAAAATATAAAGAAATAAGCAAAATAAACCAAAATTTGTAAAAAATAGTAAAATCAAAAATAAAAATAAAATGAGGTCACCAATATTTGTCAAGAGGTCATTGAATCCTTCTATATTTTTTTCTTTCAAAATTTAAAATGATCAAAAAGTATTTTTAAGCAATTAAAACAAATCAAATAAAGTGAATGTTCGTGCTAAACACCAAATATGAGATTTCCCTGCTGCTCGAAGGATGACAGGGAGATCCTCAAACGAGTGAGAGGATGTTGTTTATGATATTAAGGGATTATGAGGCTTACACGAGTATGCGTAAGCTCTAAGCGATGTGTCTTGCTTACCCTCGGTCGGGAGCCCTATATATAGAGGTGTATGAACCTCATTGATTAGGTCGGGCTTAGGGTAACTTCTGGATCTAGGGATGAGCCTGACTGCTGTCTCTTCATCTTCTTCCATGGACGACTACACGACCCTCCGATCACACAACCCGATTTAGGCTTTATGATCTTGACCCGGGATGGTAACAAGCTGATTGTCTACTTCCCTTTCTCGGTCTTTCAACCATGCCTTGCCTTTCATCTCTTCTAGCCCGGACAATAGACCTATGTATGAACATAAGCCCCACGAGTATATGGCTTTTACCTGAAGCCTTATGGTCGGTCAATATAGAAATAGATCTATGCTCTGGACTAGGCCTCTAAGATCAGACGATGATACCTCGGTGTGCATGTTACTCACGCCCTAGTTTCTCAACAGTCTCCTAGTCCCTTAGGCGTAATCATTGCTAAGGAAAATTTTGAATGCTTATACACACTTCCTCGTCTTTAAGCATTTTATTTCCCATAACTTTTCTTTTATAAAAACCTTTCCTTTTCTGCTTCCAAAAGACTCTCCTAATTCCCTTTGCAAGTGCTCTCATTCGTTTCTTCCAAAAACTCTCTCAATCGACCATCGGTACCAGGTATTTCTTCTCTTTCTTTACCTTATTTTTTATATATTTTTATTTTTGAGGGATGATTATCATCAGAGAGTGTGATAATTTTGGAAATAAAAGACGTAACAATGATGAGGAGCGGAGAGTCGTATGGGAGGGGTGCATGCAAGAGATGAGAGCTTCTTTAGGTGTAGATGAGTACGCACCCGTCATGAATAAAGTTTATAGTGAAGTTTTTACTTCTGAAAGTGATTTTGACCCCGATTCTTCAGGTTCTGTGGAGGTCCTAATGAAAACTCCCAACTCTTTTAGAGAGGAGGTGATGGATTACGATCAAAGTTCCATGGATGAGGTAGAGATAACGAAGCTTCTCTCTCTCTACGAAAGGTGTCATCAACTGGAAATGAGGACGATGTGGTCCTGAAGGCCTGTATCCCTGGCGAACGGGTCTGTATGTCGCGACCAAAGGTACAAAATGAGTGGTTTTATTTCTATGTCGGGGTTTTGAAAGATATGTTTATCCACATCCCTTTCACTAATTTTGAAGTGGATGTATTGAAGACGATAAATGTAGCCCCCTCTCAACTATGCCCTAACAGTTGGGGTTTTATCAAAGCTTTTGAGATGATCTGTGAAGCGTTGGATATGACTCCGACTATCGATTTGTTTTTTTCTCTTATTTTAAAGTGAAGAATGTAGAATCTGGGAGCTGGGTTGTCATTAGCGGTGTACCTCACAGGAGCTTCCTTCAAGCCTTTACCACTAATTATAAGGGCTTCAAGGACCGGTTCCTTCGGGTTAGGTGCGGACCGAGGTGTCCTCAGGTTATTTATGCCACTGATGGTCATCCCAAGTTCCCTTTGTACTAGACGGGAATTCCTTTACCCATATATGGAATCAATTATGATAAGTTGAGTAATGTTGAGACTCAATCTCTGCAAGTGTTAGACTCCTTCTGTCCGTTCAAGGTCAAGGAATTGTTACTCTTTTCTGATAAAGAGGTTCCAACCTTTCTGGGTAAGGCTCATTTTAATTCTCCTCCGCCTAAGGGTTTTTACTCCTTTCTTACATACTTTTTTTGATGTTTTTTGCAGATAAGATAACTGATCTCTCTATTAAAGAGAAAAAGAAGTTGATGGTTACTTCCCGTGCTGCCCGAAGAGGGGCTGAAGGGCCTTCTGAGTCCAAATTCTACTTGACTGGTTTAGAACTCCGAGTAGCAAAGAAGAAGAAAGGACTCGGCCAGAAGGCGGGAATTATCATCAGCGTGCCTTAATCACTGGCCAAGCATGCCCTGGAAATTGAGGATCCCTCTCAGAGATCTCTGTAATACGGTGGGAGAACTGACTTTTTGGTTTTACCCAAATGTGCGGATAGCTAGAGTCGCCATCGGCTTTTCTTTTATCCAATATTTATGAAAGGTGAAAAGAACAAGTAAGACCTTTGATAGATTTTGAGTTCGG